CAGGAATAGTACTTTCAGGGATAGTGGTCTGTGGTACTGATTTTAATTTAAGCCCAAGTGGAAGGTTCTATCACCTTCTGTTTCATTTCACGGGCTTCTCAAATATTGCAAAAAGCGCGATTTTTTGGTCACTTTCATCACATTTTTCTCTCTGCGTATTCTTAATCAGCACAAACAAGTATATCAAAAATAGCTTTAACATCTGGCAATCGCTTTGAGCTCGTTTTAGCTTAATCTGAGTTGCTTCGCATGACGGTGGACTGTATCTTGCCGATTTGCAGCGCCCAACACATCCTCAATCACCAAAAAAAAAGAAGAGGTGAGAATATGCAAACCTAATCGAATATCGCTATGAACTTCGAAGGTCTCAGACAGCTTTCCTTTGTGAAATATTACATGACAACTAGCTTCGTCGAATGGTGTCACGGCGGATGATGGAACTCTCAGAACTCAGGGTTCATTAAAGCCAGGAAGAGTGGAAAACACTCCTACTGGGAACTCTATAAGATCGGACTGGGCGTCTATAAGTCCGAGATAAGAAAGGCCAAAAGCGAGTCATGGAGAAACTTTTGCGAAGCCGTAGAAGGTTGTAATGAATCATCTTGATTTATGCTAATCCTCGCGAGGTATCCCGTACCTTTGGGTTACCTAAGAGACAAAGAGGGCAACTGGGCGATAAGTGGAGAGGAATCGCTTAAGATTTTCCTTGACACTCATTTCCCAGAAAATTCTGCACCATGTGAGACCACCGGTATTGGAACGGGCGACTGCCTTACCTCCTCCTCCGGTGAACTACTGGGTGGTGCCGACTGCTCTGGGCAATTGACTCCTTCAATCCTTTCAAGTCTCCTGCACCGGATGGCATCATTCCTGCGCAGCTGCAAAAGGCTGTGGGGGTCTCGTGACTAGCTCACCCAATCTATGCGAGCTGCTAGGGGGCTTGGAGAAGTGTAAGGGTCACGTTCGTCCCGAAAGCAATAAAGAACTCTCATGTATCCCCGAGGGATTTCAGACCAATCAGTCTCTCATTTTTCTTATTGAAGACTTTTCAGAGACCGTTTGACCTGCACGTAAGAAACAGGATTCCTCGAGAGCGTTTTAGCCTCTCTCAGCATGCCTACCTGAAGGGTAGATCCGTGGAATCTGCCCTGCACTCAATTGTCAAAGTCATAGATGAGTCTCTTAATAACAAAGATTTTGTAGTAGGTGCCTTCCTTGATATCGACTGGGCCTTCAATAATGTCCTACCTGGGGCGATAACTAAGCTCGGAGTCGAGAGCTACTTAGTAAGGCTCATCTCACATATGTTGCACGATAGAACTGTCACAGCGGAATGGGGCAATGCCTCTGAGCAGCGTAAAGTGAGCAGAGGCACACCGAAGGGAAGCGTCCTTTCACCCTTTCTCTGGATAGTTGTGATAAACGACGTCCTGGAGGAGTTGGAAGGGAGAGGATGCCGGATTATTGCCTACGCGGATGACGTGACACTCATCGTCAGAGGAAAGTTCTTGGTGACTCTGTACGATCTTATGCAAGGTTACCTAAACATTGTCACAAATTGGTCCGCTAGTTGCTATCAATCCTGGAAAAACGGAGCTCGTTCGTTTTACCAGGAGGCACAAAAAGCCTCAGGTCCAGCCCCCTCAATAGGTGTTCCACTTGTTTTCTCTGAGAGGGTCAAGTTCTTGGGCGTGATCCTGGATAGGAAGTTGTCATGGAACCCAAATATTGAGGAACCAGTAAAGAAGGCATCGGTGGCTCTCTACTAATGCAAGAATATTATGGTGAAAAGATCGGGCCTCTCCCCAAAAGTGATGCACTGGCTATATGAAACAATTATTAAGCCAATAATGTTACATGGGGTCATTGTCTAGTGTAGTTCACTGGAAAATACCACTCATGTTAGGAAACTAGAGCGAGTGCAAAGGTCGGTCCTCGTTGGAATCAGCGGGGC